CTCTCAACTCCTTTGCAACTGGAACCACTTTAAAAACAAAAACCCGATTTAAAGACACTTAAATTTGCTGCATTTTGACTTTTTTGACTGCACCAGCCCGGAAACCATCATCAAGTAGGTATCCGGCTGGCCAGCCCCGCCCCCTGACCAACCGCCCTGTCGCGCTTATTTTAAACAGATTTGGTTCGTTACAACTTACAACTTGTCTTTCCGTTAAATCAAACTGAAACTTCGCGAAACTGTCAAGAGCCACCAAAAACGGACACTTTTTCCCCCTGCCCTCTTAACAGTAGTTTCCATAGTTTCCGACAATGACATTGTCGGGGCATTCATTTTACGACATTAATGTCACCGTGTGAACGAGCTTTTAGGGTAATAGCGGCATCTGTAATGCGCTGTTTTAATTCCTCCTTTGTACGTATTTCTCCGGCATAAACCAAATTTGTATCCTGCTCCATACGGGAAAGTCTAACGCAGTTAGATCTGGGCGTCTAGCAGGCCATGCTGTAGGGGTCTCCTCTCCCCCCTCCATCAGACGCCTCTCAGTGGCTGCATTCAGCAAAATCATGTTGGCGGGACAGCAAAACTGTCCAATCTATACTCTGTAGTCTGTGCGACTGAAACTTCTGGAAACTGTCAAGAGCCACCAAAAACGGACATTTTTTCCACCTGCCCTCTTAACAGTAGTTTCCATAGTTTCCGACAATGACATTGTTGCAGGTACATGACGGACGGGATGCTGCTGCGCGAGTGCCTGATGGATCTGGACCTAAAAGGCTACGCCGTGGTGATGCTGGACGAGGCGCACGAGCGCACCATCCATACCGACGTGCTCTTCGGCCTGCTGAAGCAGGCCGTCACCAAGCGGCCCGAGCTCAAGCTGATCGTCACCTCCGCCACGCTGGACGCCGTCAAGTTCTCCCAGTACTTCTTCGAGGCGCCCATCTTCACCATCCCAGGTAGGTCCAGTGGGTAGGTAGTCTGGTCTAGTCTCACCCCCTCTTCCTGCAGGGCGCACCTTCCCGGTGGAGGTCCTCTACACCAAGGAGCCGGAGACGGACTACCTGGACGCCAGCCTGATCACAGTGATGCAGATCCACCTGCGCGAGCCGCCCGGCGACATCCTGCTGTTCCTCACCGGGCAGGAGGAGATCGACACCGCCTGCGAGATCCTCTACGAGCGCATGAAGTCGCTGGGGCCGGAGGTGCCCGAGCTGATCATTCTGCCCGTCTACTCGGCGCTGCCCTCCGAAATGCAGACGCGCATCTTCGACCCGGCGCCGCCCGGCAGCCGCAAAGTGGTGATCGCCACCAATATAGCCGAAACGTCGCTCACGATCGACGGCATCTTCTACGTGGTCGATCCCGGCTTCGTCAAGCAGAAGGTCTACAACTCGAAGACGGGCATGGACTCGCTGGTGGTCACGCCCATCTCGCAGGTGAGTGCCGGCCGCTGGCTTGTCGAGGGGGGCGGGGCTTAATGTTCTGATAGGCGCAGGCCAAACAGAGGGCGGGCCGCGCAGGCCGCACCGGCCCCGGCAAGTGCTACCGCCTCTACACCGAGCGCGCCTACCGCGACGAGATGCTCCCCACTCCGGTGCCCGAGATCCAGCGCACCAATCTGGCAACGACGGTGAGCGCCATCTGTTTGTTAAGCGTCGAACTTGCAAACCATCTGTTTTTACAGTCGGCTATTTTGATTGCCCGCAACTACGCTTGCGCGTTTTTTCAGTTTTCGAGTTTTAGAACGAGTTTTCGAGAACTTTTATTGCACTTGCCGGCTCTATAGTTCCAAACCGAAAATTTCTTGCAGCTGGTCGCAATTTTAGTGACTTTTCTGGTGTTCTTTTCAGGCTGCCAACTGTTCGTTCATAGTAATATAAATCACCAGCATTATGTTAATCACAATAATTTCCTTGGCAATATAATTGTAACCTCAAGCGAAAACAAAACAAACAAACAAACTTTGGATTTTTTTACGTATAGGGAATAGTTGGTACGCTTGATGGATTTGTCTAAATGTGAAGTTTAACACTGCACACTGTAGAGCGGAGTACTAAAAATATAGCTGCAAGAAAATAGCCGCAATAAAATTGCCGACTGTAAAACGCCCTTTACAAACTTCTTTTTGGGCATTTTGCCTCAAAAATTTTCTCAAAGATTACTTTTTGATAAATGATTCGTTCTTATTGCGAAATAGGAGCACTATTTATCAATCTGTAATAAAAGACGTGAGGAAATTCTGTCTTTTTTAAAGTAAAAATTTTTCGAAATACCCAAAAAGATGTTTGTAAAAAAATGAATCCGCCTCAACAATATAGAACTTATCTACATCTGTTTTTAGTTTAACGTTTTACGTTATCCGTTATTCTGAGCATGCGCATTAGTAAATAAATAACCGTTTATGTTATTAGCGGTAACGTTAATCAGCAGAACGCCGATGTTGACATATTTGACTTACTTCTAATATTATTAATTACATTAATTATTAGTTACGGATTTTATGTGAAATTGTTCGGGCAAATTTGAACTTTGGCAACACCACTAACATCGCAAGCACAGCTTCTAGCTTCTCACCCATAACCTAACTGTTTTATTTTGGATTTTCATTTAATGTGTTTTGAATGTATTCCTTCTGAAACCGAAAATTGGTAAAGCGATCTCTGGGCTCAACGTTTTCCAAATTAAAAATAGCTCTTTGGTTAACAATAGGATGATGATAATAATCAATAAAATAATGTTAATCACAATAACTTAAGTAATAAACCAAAGCTGCGACAGCAACAAAATAAACCCTTGTCGAAACACTTTGTCGATATGACCTGCTACGTCACACTTGTGATAGGCAACCGACGATACGGATTCGGCGTTTTTGGCGGTAAATACCTGATTTGAATTCAAATTCGCTTTAAAATTATTATGGAGACTTTTTCTGCAAAAAAAAATTATTACTTTCTATATATCAACACTAAAAAAAAAATGAAAACACCCTATTTGCTGGCCAAAACTGTGAAAATACGCTCAGATTTGGGTCGCGTTGCAAAAACTCCCCGATCCATTTGATCGACAGCGTTGCCACTTACTACTGTTTACCAAATGCGTTAACACGGCCGTCCATCCACAGGTGCTCCAGCTGAAGACAATGGGGATCAACGATCTGCTGCACTTCGACTTTATGGACGCCCCGCCAGTCGAGTCGCTCATCATGGCCCTGGAGCAGCTGCACTCATTGTCCGCCCTGGACGATGAGGGCCTCCTCACCAGGCTGGGCAGACGCGTAAGTTCACTCACACTCACTCAGCAATTTTTCGCATTTTTTACCGAACTTTCATCGGCCTTCTGGAGACCGTACAATCAGTTTACGCCAGTTTGACAACTGAACGTCAGGCTGCGAAATATGGCAACCCTGCAGAAATGTCACTGGGTTTAGACAGATGTGTCAAATTTGACAGTTTATGGTCATTCGCGAGTTCAAAAGCTTTTAAAGAAATGGAAGGCGATCGAAAAGTGTCTAAGTATTGTTTTATGTGATAAATGTCATCAATCAAGTTTTGACTAGTCAAATTTGACACTTGATTAGTTGTCATTGCGACGTATTTTATTTAGTCCTCCTCGGCTTTTGCAAGCCTTTAACGAGAAACATATAGAA